AACCCAAGAGACTCCTCATCACCATCAGCGTCAGCTACTAATCCGACCCGATCCCCATCCCCAGGCCCAATTATCCGTATCGATACCTCCCCATTACTGGAGGTAGCAATACTAGCATTACTGCCACTTCTTAGAGCAGTCGTTGATGAGACCGGAACGGGACCGTTTGCGCTGATGCTGCCATTGCTATTACTAGTATCGTGATGGTCAATAATGAGGTGCTCCGCTTCGGAATGGTCGGGTCGGAGCCTAATCAAACCGGAATATTCCAGCAAGGAAGAGACTGGGGAGTGGAAAAACCGGAGCGGAGGAGGGAATTGGACGCCGTACCTTCTGGAAGGAGCTGAATTAGAATCCCTGGGAGACGATGGCGTGGAATTGGAAGCGGAAGGACTGGCATGAGCAGCATCAGAATTGGAATTCGATGTTTCCATCTGTGAGATAGAAACCCTAATAAAATTTTCTGGGGGCTTTCCGTAGAGAAGAAATGAGAATTACAAAATGTAAAATTTCTTGAGGAAAAAGAAATTGAGAGGATATTTCTTAGGGAAGAAATGTCCAAAGGAGGAAGAGACAAAGTCAAAGGAGCGAGACAGGTTAATAGCCAAGATGTCCCTAACCCCGAGGACTGGGATAATGCGGTAGAGACTAATTAGTTAATTCAAAGAAACACTTTATTAGACTTGGTTTGGATTGCTCCTTTTTAAGAAAAATTATTATAATGATTTGATATATGTGAGATAATAAAATAATTTAAAAATATATTTACAGAAAACGTAGCAATTTTTCTTTAGAAAGAGACAATCCAATAGTAATAATAGTGAGTGTGTTTGGACAGCCAATTATTTGGCCAAATATATTTGCTGACATCACCATTACAATTTTCAATACACCTTTTTATCTTCCCAATTATCTTTTTATCTCACATACATCACATCACAAAAAGTGTTACAGTAAAAATATTTCAAATAACTTATAATCCAAACACACTCAGTATCATCGAAGTTATTTATCTTTATTTTGTTTTTATTTACATTTTGCTTTTTAAGTAAAGTTATTAGATAAATAGAAAATAATTCTTTTCTTTTGACTATTGGAAAGTGAAAGGAAAAGAGAAGAGAAGTAATGGAACGAAAAATTTTAAAAAAAAATAATTGAATTTTTTATCTTTTTATTTAAATATAAATATAAGAATTTAAATTCAAAATCCCTTGCTCCTCTTCCAAATCACTTAACTCATCCTTCCGCCGGCAAAAAGGGTTGCTTGATTATCACTTTCCTAGTAAGTTTGTTTGGATAAGAATTTATTTGGATGATTTATTTGATTCAGTTACTGTAGCACTTTTTGTGATGTGATGTATGTGAGATAAAAAGGTGATTGGAAATTGTGTGTATGATGCAAGCAAAACAAAATCTGAAATTTTGTTTCCAAAATCAAGTTGTCCAAACAAATTGACATTTGACGATGCTCTCTAATTCTAATTATGTACGTCGGATTAGTAGTATTTATTTGTGACGCGTTATTCATTACTGGACGTTAAAGGGATTGGGGGGCACGAAGGAAAATTTCGATATTGCCGTACACGGCCCCGAAGAAAATTTGTGACGCGTTATTGGTACTCTGCACGTGCCCATGGGGAGCGTTGGGTTCCAGACGTGTACAAAACCCGTGTGGACCTTTCTCACGAGTCATGAGAGAAAAAAAAAATTTTTTTTGAAGCAAGAAAAAACTTTTAATCATGCCTCACAACCAGTTAGTTAGTCCCTTGTTTTAGATGAGATGTATTTTTTTCTTTTTTTTTTTAACTTTATTCTAGAGCTACTTTAAACCACCGTCGATTCAAAAGAATATCTACACACCCCCGTTGGCAAATTTTTTTCAAGAAAACCTGAATTTTTTAGAATACAGATCAAGGATTTTGATCCCTTAACCTATACACTCGAGTAAAGTTTTAAAACTTTTTTTGTGTCCAACTATTCCTAGATGAGATGTAGGAGGATTAATTAATGTGAAATTGTGAAGCTAATATGGGGTTAACCAATTCACACAGCTTGTATGATTGTATGAATCATGTCCTTCGGGTTTGTTTGGATTGTGAATTATTAGAGATTTTTTTACTGTAGCACTTTTTGTGATATGATGTATGTGAGATAAAAAGGTAATTAGGAAGATAAAAAGGTGCGTTGAAAATTGTAATAATTATGTAAGCAAATATATTTTGACAAATAAATCGCAATCCAAACAAACCCTGCATCCGGTCTTCTATACCTTTCCTTGTTCTAAAACTCCCCGCTCTCCCATTTGAAATGAAAAGTTGGAGGAAATTTTGAATCATTATTGTTCCCTGGCAATTGTAAAGTGTAGCTCAATATTTAATCCTTACCCCAATTCCCAAGAAAAATTAGCTTTACCAACTCTATATGTTGAATATGGCACCATTTATGGCAATTGTATTTTTGACAGTAGTTGATTAGGTCCTGCTGTTATTTCCTCCTCGAGCCTTCGCAAACGTGGAGACAGCTAAACAGCCTTTATACATTTGTTCTGATGCAGAGGCACTTTTCTCCTGGTTACGTTCCAAATCCACCAAAGATAACAGTGCATAGAGAGATTTGAGAAAAAAGTTAGTACGCTCTATGATAGGCACAATCCTTTGATGCATTATGATGGCCTCCCCTATCTAAGCAAAATTAATGAGGATTGAAGTAGAGTTCAAGCAAAGGCTAGAATAATATCAGTCATCTTATCAAAAAAAAAAAAAGAATAATATCAGTCATAAATTATAGTGCTAGAACTTTGATTAAGCCTTTTTGTTTTTGACAAAATCCTAACAGGGATCTACTTTGCTAGGCCTAAGTAGCACTCTACTAATAAACCAGTGGCACAACACAAATGTTTGGGAGCGAGGTTTGCTTTCGTGTAGGGGTATCAACGGGTCGAGTTTGGATTTGGGCTCGATCGAAATTCGATAAATTTTTTCGGATTGGGTTGAAAAATAATTCCGAATCCTGATTCGAACCCTTTTATTTTAACAAAAAAACAGGTCGGATACGGAATATACGATTTCAACCCGTATCCGAATAAATATAAAATATAAATATTTCTAAATACATTCTTTTATCAAATTAACAATTTAGTAATGACTTTGTAGATTAATTTGTGGTTAGTTTTGAATTGACTATTGCGAGTTATTTGTGATTTAGCTTTGTAATTTGATTTGTTTAAGTTTGGAGATTGGATTGATGATTGATTTTGGATTTAATTTTCAAATGTTTAAATTTGGACCTTTTCTTTCTGGGTAAATCTGGATTCGACTCGAAATCCGTCCGAATCCGATTCCGAAACTCTAAGGTCAAGACCTATTGGATATACGGATCGGGTCTAGACCTATTACATAAAAAACGGGTTTGAATATGAAATTTTCAATTCTAACTCGAACTCGGCTGGTGGACACCCTTCATTCATGTACCATCAACGTAGGAACTAAAAACACACACGGTATTCAGTTTCGGAGAATCATTCAAGCCTCCCAATTATCCTTCCGTTGCCTGATTTCCCGCAAGGCTTCAACTGCTGATTTGCGTCCAACGACAAGAAAACTACTCTTAAAACTTTGGCCAGCGGCGGGTGTGTTGAAGTTGAACAACAGATCACAGAAGTTTTCTTTCGATTTATTTGTCCCCTTTTTTGTTGAAAATATGAGTTTTATGCACAAATTTAGCACAGCCATCTTGCCCTTCGTATGCAAGTTACAACTCTATCCTCCAGTTAATGACTTAATGTAGTAGGACCATAAGCAGAATACTCTGACTAGGAAAGCGATGGCACCTGAATCTCAGGAATGTCAACCGGCATGAGTGGGTTAGTCTCCCATTCTTCCTCGATGGTTGATGGAACAGTCGCAAGTCCGAGCAACCTTTGATGCCTAGCCCATATCAATTTCTGACGAATGTTTGCATTGTCTGGTTCGAATTCACGAAGATAGTTCTTTCTCTTTTTGTCTTTTTTGATTAGCTAAGCTTGATTTGTTCCCCCTCTTCTGTGTTCATTTTGCAAAGGAAAATTAAAGGGTTGAATCATAACTGCATAATCTCAGAGACAGACAACCGCCATGTCCTCACATAAATTCCCAGCCACCACAAAGTGCACGTTCTTTTGTTTCTCTAATTCACTGTTCTTCATTGAGAAATCTTTCAAGACGGCTAATCAAATCAATGCTAACCGAGTCTCAGAAAACAAAAATGAAAATCAAGGTGTTAGGAGGGCTCAATTATGGGTGGCGTCAAAGCAATTTTGACATGATTAATTTGAGCAAATTATTAACGAAGATTATGAAAAAAACCCCAATGAATTAGGAGGCATGATATTTTTATCAACCCCAATGAATATCTTGTCACCATCTCTGACTTTCTTAGTGCAGCCCATCACGTTATCATATACTCCACCAAAAACTTTTAATCTTGGTCACCAACCTCTTCATCTCATCATTCCCACCAGCATGATCCCTACCACCATTTCAACCAACAATCCATCAGTAATCTCCGCCTACCCAACGTTCACTACAAACCCGGCACATGAAAAAGATGAAACGTTTGAATAGAGACCCCATGGTGGTTAATCTTCATGTCCAGTTTGTACAAGCAGGAATAGTTAATCTTCCAAACAGGGGATGGGTATGATCTTCATGTCTCAAAGAGCGTTGTCTTCGAAACCCGCTCCTCTCTGCAAGCGGTGATAAATCAAACAGAAGAAAAGAAAGACGGGATTCCCTTCAACTCGGTACAAGCGGGAAAGATTTGACGTTGAACTGGTGCAGTCTGCAATGTTCTTGAATCAATTAGGAAGCAGAAGAACCGTCATAGTTATTGTTTGTTTAATAATTCTAGTGTTTTTACTCGCTTCAGATATTTACTGGTAGCCGCAATTTTTTGTTTTGTGGCTATGGTTGTCCTCTGGCTGATACCAGTTCTTTGTTTTCATTTGTTTTGCAAATTTCATCTTTTTGCTGCATTTGGCAAATCGGTGGCCGAATTTGGCACATCAAATAACAGCGTAATAGCATTTACATTACACAAAATCCAGTCAATTTGCATTCGAGCCAGAGCATTCTCTCGTCACTACACAATGGCACACCACAGAACTGAAACAACATTACACCGCACATCTTATTTATGCATCTAATTTATGCAGTAGGCTTCCAAGTATCCTTCCGTTGCCTGATCTCTCGAATGGCTTCCACAGGGGACTTGCAGCCAACCATCCTCTGCAAAAGAAGCACAATTTCCAGTTACTGATATACACACATCCACACTCGAAGGAAATTTAAGTGTCTGAACGAAATTCAGTACTGCAACAATTAGTGCATCAAATATTCTACACAAGCAATACTAGAACTGTTTTAGAATGCCCGTATTTCAAATTCCGGACTTACCTGAACGTCAGGAAGATCAACCCGCATGAATGGATTTGTCTCCAGTTCCTCCCCAATAGTGGATGGAATAGTTGGAAGGCCAGACCTCCTCTGCTGCTGAGCCCATGCTAACTTTTGTCTAATTTTTTCATTATCAGGTTCAACGGTTATAGCAAACTGAAAGTTCTTTTCGGTATACTGCAAACAAGTCACACAGATGTTAGCACTTGTCCACCCACTTTTAGGGAGTGATGGGGCAAAAATCAACTACAGAAGTAACCAACGCTGATTGAAAAAAAAAAAAACTCAACCAGAATCAGTAACGCTTCAAACAATCAAACGGAATTTATAAATGCATATAGGTTGAATGTGCATATTGTGTCTGAGTACTCATGATACAGCTCGAAAACAAATTTTACATGTGATACAAATAAAGCTTTCTGGTTTCTTTGCACAACAACATGCGAATATAGCACCAACTGTACGGTCACCAGTTGACAAATTAATCCGATGTTCACAACAGAAAATACAAAGCAGACATAAGAAAAATGGTAATTAAACAGAATCAATATATCCAATAAAAATCTTAATACCAAACACATTGTGATAAAAGTTAGACAGATTACCTCGTGTCCACAGAAAACTCGAGTTGGATTTGGTAGTGAACCTAATGTCACACATAGGGACTGATACATCTGTTCTGCAGTGCCTTCAAAAAACTTACCACAACCAGCAATGAACTAGAAAACAAAAGAATGACACAAGTCACAGTTAATCTCTTAGGACAATCTGAATAATCTTAAGAAGGAACAAGCAATAACTTGATTAATGAAAAGCATACTTCTATATCTCTTCATAAAAGCAATGAATAAAAGAACTTGAGAACCGTCTCAGTCACAAGTGCTGATACTAAAGACATCCCACCCCCCAAAATAAATATTTAAAAAGCAAAGCTATGAAAGACAGCCAGCAAAATAACAAAACTACGAGCATAAACTGTCTTATAGCAGCTGGAAAATTCAGAGCATAAATGCCACTGTGCAAGACATTCAAGCCCAGGAAAACCCTGCAAGAATGCCTCATGATACAGAGGATTCAAACTTTTGAGCTTGCAATGAACGCAATTACTCATTCCTGATTAATGCATCAAAAACCAACCAAAAGTAAAAAAAAATAACAAGATTATTAATTGGCCAAGCACAAGTATAGGGGTTAACAAGATCATATTCTGGAACATTGTGTCTTTTCCTTTCTCCCACGGCAAACAAATGATCTTCACAATGGAAAAGAACAGAGAATATCGTTATACAGGAATCGAGAATGAAGTAAAAATCTACTTACCAATGTGTCCCCAGTGAAGACCGCAGGATCCTCTCCATCTTTACCAGTCACGTAGTAACTTATATGACCTTGTGTATGGCTAATAACACATTCCCCATCCCCCACCCCCCACCAAAAAAAAAAAAAAAAAAAGAACACGAATATCATAATAGCACAGCACCCTGTTACTTCAATGATAGTAAGATTGGCATCAAAACATTTCCTAATATTTGAATTCATGGTGGCCTCAATTTTTAATTTTTTTTCTTAAAAAAACAGAGGTATTGACGTGTTTTATAGCATCAAACTTTGAAAAAATGCCAAAATATTGAACTTCGAACCAGTTGGTCACAAGATGTAACCAAAGCAGCACACCATCAAAAATAAATATGGAAATGAGTACATCAGACATGCATTTCAAGAGCAAACACAAAAATCATGATCTTCAATATCCACAAAATCTAAGGTAAATTTACAGCCGAGAAAACTTGTTCTATGATAACTGAATGCCAGCACCATTTTAATTATTTTGAACCTGGTTTTGAAGTGGCATACCAAGGCGTGTGAAGGCACAATATACTGATTTCATCCCCCAGGGGAATTCTGTCACCATTTTCGACCTTATTGGTACACCCCCTCACGTTATCAACCGAACCACCATAAACTTTGATTCCAGGAACTATCTGCTTTATCTTGTCATTTCCGCCAGCATGATCCCTATCATCAAACTTAAGTCACCAATCCACATCCACAGTTACAAATACAATCAAACATAACCCAAATAAGTGATCAAGATCAGAAATCATCAACACGAATATACATGCATTTGGAGCCCAAGACAAAGACGGGGAGCTGACCAGTGGTGGTGAGTAGTGAGGACGAGCTTAAGGTGAACACCATTCTCCTGGGCAGCTCGGAAAACTTTATGGGGTTCAGCTGGGTCCACTGCTGCTGCCTCTTTCGTTTTCTCATTAATTACCCTGATTTAAAAAAAAAAAAAAAAGAAAAAGAAAAGAGAGAACGCTTGAACTTCATTTACCTTGAATTTATCAAGTGTTTAGCTTGTGCGTTTATAAGCAAAGCGACAACTAAAATGACAAAAAAAATCAAGATAAATTGCAAGGGGGGAAAAACAAAGAACAGTGGATATGGGCTCGTATTACAGGTAGGAGTAATTATCTTCTAAGCATGGGATGTGAAGGATCTTCATCTGGAAAGTGGAAACCCCCCTCCACTTGCTCCGTCTTTCTGATTTTAGGCAGCGTCGCTGCTGGTGAAGTGATGATGGGGATTTATGTTCCGGCCTTTTTGGTGCTTTTCCCAGCTGGGTTAGTTGATAGGGTTCATATGTTCGGCAACACCATTCGGCTGGTAGCGTTTTATTCAGGAGAAAGTTCGGTGTGACCGGTAAACGTGGGAAACAGCACGATTTTGTGTCGCTTTTGGTCACTAGCCAAAAATAGTTAATTGACGCCGCCTGCGATATTGCGGTTTCCTGATTTTGTTTCTAGTCGAGAGTTTCTGATTCTGACTTGCAATTTTTCTCTAAAAAATTTTTTTATATTTTTTTATAAATATATTTTCAATCACTTTTTTATATATATATTAAATTATTATAATACATTTTTTTTTATAAAAACATGAGAAAATAACAATCCAAACGAGCTGGCTATAGGGGATACATACCCCATGTTCCGGGATTGAGAATAATAAACAAAATTACAAAACCACGTCTATGTATGGATAGATGAGAAAAATGTAATTTTGATACTCAAACTTTGACATATAAGAAATTTTAGTTCCCAAACTTTAGACAATAGCAAATTTAATACCTAATCTTTTGACTTTTGATCACATTTAGTACCCTTGATGGATTTTTTTGAAATTGCAACCGCAAAGAGTTATATAATAGTCAAATGCCGAGCAACTATTGCATAAAAAAAAAGACAAAAAAAACAAAAAATTTAGTCCTTAAACTTAGTATTTAGTGTCAGAAAGATATTTTATTTTTTTAAGATATTTTTTATACAATAATTGTCAGACATATAACTATCACGTGATTCTTTTCGATAACAATTTGGAAAAAAATTATCAAGAGTACCAAATGTACTCAAAAGTTGAAAAATTGGATATCAGATTTGCTTTTATTCAAAATTTAGGAGCTAAAATCGTTAGTATTAAAATTTGGATATCAAAACTGCATTTTTCTCCTAAATGGACTGTCGAGGGACAGAAGGCCTGCTAAATGCTAATAGCTAACTTTTGGGATGCTGGCCGGCCTGTTTCCTAGTTTACGTCTCACCAAGTGAAAATAGAAAAGTTTTATACATTAACGTTACATACATTATTAGATTTGGATCCATGATATTTAATTTAAATTTAAATTTTAAATATGTGTCATATAATTAATTATGAATGTACACAATGTTGCACATGTAAGAGCCACTAAAAAAATAAAAATGAGACTGGACTCAATTGGTATACACCAAATAGCTAACAATGCCAATACAAGTTGTTTTAATTGACAAGGATCGATCACTTTCTTATAAAAGATCGTGTATTTGAATCCTATTGTTGATGTGAGTATTGTGTTAATAGATAATTTGTAAAAACCTTTACAAGGGACTTATAGTTCTCGAGGTATGTCCTGAGCGGTAGCGGTGATTGGAACTGAATTCGCCAAACTTTTCGTCTACCAAAAAAAAGGGAAAAAGAAAAGAAAAAACCAAATAGTAGCTAACAATAATGAACCCAAGGAAGGGCTCGGAGAATGAAGGACTGGCGGGCTGGCTTGCTAAACTAGGAGGCTGGATCCTGAGTGGGTCCCGACCCTTGCTGGTATTCCTTCCGGAGTCAGCAATTCCCAAGCAAGAGTATGCCTCAGGCTACGAGCCTACGATACGCTTACCTTTTCCGTTCAAGTTCACCTGCTGCCTGCTGCTGGTGCTGGACCGGGGAGCTGGGAGAGTTTGGAGAGGGGCTTTAGACAAGCAAAATCAAGTCGTCATTTCCAAAATTTGACTCCTTTTCTTCCCATGCGTTTTTCTGCTTCCATTTCTCCGAAAAAAGAAACCCAGCTTGTACAGATTTCCTTTTGTAGCGAGTATTAAAGATCACTCCAGTTTGCTTGTGCAATTTTAAATCATAAAAACTATTTCTACTCTGAGAACTCAGGAGGAAAAAGTAAAACATGTCGAAATACTCATCGTCAAGCTTCGTCCTCACATACCTCCATCACATTAAATCCTCATCCCTCACAATCCCAGTTGGCCTTGCTAATAATAATCCTACTGCCTTTTCTCACTTGCTAACCCATCACCCAAAAATAGTTAAGAATCCCATTTTCTCACCATGGCTGGGGAATCCTTCGAAAGCCCATTTCTCAACGACCCCGATTTCAAGGATTTCCCAAAGCCCAACTCAAAAGCTGCTGATCAACCCGAACCCCAGTATGCCGCCAAATTCTAGGAATTTTTTTGGGTTTAGGTATTTTTCTTTCACTGGTAAGAAGTATGATCTTGGGAAAAGTGCGGTGAGGAACCCAATGGGGGCTGTGAAGGATGCTGCTTCCAGGTACAGGGAGGCGGTGGGTCTCCAGATTGAGGCGTTTTGGAAGAGGAATAGTCTGGTGCTGGTGGGTGCTGGAGGGGTCCTGGTTTGCGTCTTGCTTTGGAGGATTATGTTTGGGATTGCTAATACGTTTGTTGGCCTATCCGAGGGCATGGCCAAATATGGTTTTCTTGCTCTTTCCACTGCCATTGTCTCATTTGCTGTAAGTACTCCTTCCCAAATTTTGTGATTTCAGCTGATATTTAAGGTTAAGCATTCTAACTTCCGAACTCTTCTTCCCTGGGTACTTTTTGTATATGTGTAGTATGTTCAGCTTGAAATGTTGCATTATTTTATTTTGTTGCTCTTTTGATGGCTCTGGAATTCTCCAGTCTGTCAATTGGAACTTACATTTGTAATTCAGTTTTCAATTACTGAATAGCTAGATCTCTTCGTTTGTAAATAAGTCCGTTAATTAGCCAACTCATTGTAAGCCAATACTACGTTCTTTACCCTATCGGGATAGATTCATTTTTAGTTGTCCAACAATTAATCCCTTGATGATTATGTCAAATGTTATTTTCATCCAAATTTTACAAAAATAATGTAGTAAGCATGCTTCTGTAATCCATGTTTTTTCCGCAAGCTACTAAACAACCTATTTTTGCTTTGAAATTATCTTGTTATGGACTATGGAGTGCAACACGTATCACATGACAATGAGTGTCAATGCATTTTAGAACTCTTAGTACCAGTTAATAGACGATGTTATTTGTTGTCGTCAATTGCATAAGCAGGCAAGCTCATGATTAGGATAAATTAGATGAAGCTCTTGAACTAATGTTGCACTCTGACGGTGGACAATGTCGTGGTCCCTGTCAGTGTGAGTCTTCTGATTGGTCTTTAGGATTCTACCTATTTTCAAATTGGAAAAAGAAAAATGATTACAAGAAACAGAAAAAATGAGTCAGAAATTATCACATCTGCTATTTTAACATGACAACTTCCTAAAATGGTAATCTGTGTCACACTTCAGTTCAAATGATGTTAGCCATGAAAGTTGCTCAGAAATTTGTTAGGTTCTCGGTTATCCTTTTTTGGAGTAGTTATTTTGCTGAATAGATATTGTATGAACATCTTGATGTCTTGAATTTTCATTTTTCACGATGAACTTCTTTTAGTTTCTTGATTGATACCCTGTGTCATAAATCTTTGTGCTTGTAGAAATGTCCTGGTATTTTCTAAAAATGTTTTTCAAGGAGTTTTTATTGTGCCTTTCAACTTTAAGATAATGTTTATGTTAATTTTGTTTGATTTCCCTGTAATGTTCAGATTTTATATCTTCGTTCAAGATTCACAGTGAATCCTGATAAGGTTTATAGAATGGCCATGAGAAGACTTAACACATCCGCTGGGATTCTTGAGGTCATGGGTGCTCCACTAACTGGCACTGACTTAAGAGCATATGTGATGTCAGGAGGTGGCATCACACTGAAGAACTTCAAGCCAAGGTTTAGGAACAAAAGATGTTTTCTGATTTTTCCAATACGAGGTTCTGAGAGGAAAGGCTTAGTAAGCGTTGAGGTCAAGAACAAGAATGGCCAGGTTTTTTCTGAACTAGCTGACTAAGTGTTCTATATATAGAAGACGTTTTGATTTGTTGTATATTGCAAAACTGCTTTGACTGGGTTACTCAGTGTTTGGTGGTCAATTTAGTAAACATGTGTATTCTCTATTTGTCATCTGTCATTCATATCTCTGTAAGATTGGCATGTGTGCTTGTTCATAGATAAATATTGGTACTTGTCGTTCCATACCGTGTCCTAGTTAGAAGGAAGAGAAAGGTGCAAAAGGGTGAAAAGCAAAAGTTAAAGGTGTTGACGTTCCTGCTTATGATTCAGGGCGTAGTTTCTCTTCTTTTTTTTGTGAAGAACATTTACTGTTTGATTTTCTGCAGTATGACATGAAACTACTGGCAGTAGACATCCCCATGGCAACAGGACCTGATCAGCGCCTTTTCCTAATTGGGGACGAAGAAGAATACAGGGTTGGTGGTGGCCTCATTTCTGAGCTTAGAGATCCTGTTGTAAAAGCAATGGCAGCAAGTAAGGAATTTGAAGATCGTGATGATCAGGAGGATGAGGAGGATGCTGAAAGGGAACTTCAAGAAGCAGAAAGAAAACAACGTGAAGAAATTGAGAAGCTTGAAAAAGTTAAATCATGACAGATTTTGCATCTGAGTTTGTTGATCACTTTTCTGCTCTTTTCTTTGATTTACGTTGAACTCTTTAAAGAAAGAAGAGTTGATTTCCTGGTAGCAAAGAGGAATGTGGCTTAAAAAAAAACCCTTCACAAGAGCTTCCTGATTCGTTTTACAGATTATCTGTATTTTGTTAATACTCCATGGTAGGATTGACCATTTATTGGAGCACCTGCTTTAGGTCTGCAGATTTCTATGATTCCCAATAAAGGCGTGCTTACCTGAGTTGGTTATGACCTAATACTCCCATTTTGACGGGTTCCTTGCTAAATGGATGGAAAGCACCGGAAGCTTTTGTAACTTGAGTGATTTTGATGTCAAAAATTCTTTTAGCCACTGATGTTTGTGTTTTTTAGGATCAATCTAGAATACGGTTGGTTCATGGGATTCCTCTTTCAAGATCTCCAGGTTAAGCCAAGGATATCAACATAGTGAGTATTGGTTGGCTTTTCTCTGTTTCTTTTCCTAACTGTTACTATGCTGTTTCTGTAAGATGAGATTTTCTTGCACGGATGCTGGGTGCAGCTGGACGTACCCGAGCTAGGTATATTCAATTAAGACCTGTCCTGTGTTTGTTAAAGAATAACCAGTAGCCCCTCTTGGCCATGTACATTATCTGATTGTTCCCGCGGAAATGTAAAATTGCTGTTTAGGACTTACCCTTGTACAAGAAAATTTCCCATTACAATTTGCTTTTATATGTGTTATAATTTGTTAAATGGCCTGATCCATTCAACTCAAAGGGTTTTGCTTCTAGTGGCTCTGGGGACAATGATACACTTGTTGCAACGTATGCCAGGCACAATTCATACGCAGCTGATGATATGTCCTTAAAAGTAACCGTCGCACATGCGACATCCATCTGGTTTTAGATAGAGTGGCAGCTTGGAAAGAATATCCAAATTTAGAACCATTACAAATACAGGATTGTTTCAAAACCCATTTCTTTGACCCCCAAAAAAAAGATCTCAAATTTTTTCCAGATTTCAACACGGAAATAGGAGGCATTATAATTGTAAAGAAGGAATATGTGCACGCAGTACAACTAGCTATAGAAGAACATCACGAATTCCAAGTTCTTCGAGATCAAAGGACGGCTCTTGCTCTTTTGGCGTAACAAAGCTGTCTGAAACGTCTGCTATCTCGCTCTTTTGCTGGTTAGATAATCATCCTTTTCTCGTCCATGGACATTGAGCAAGGTGGCAAAGCGTTTACAGGAGAGCACAGAGTAGTAAAGCCCACTTTCAATAGACGTGCCTGCAGTTATGACCCAGAAATTGCCTTGTAACCTTCCTTCTCAAGAAGTTTAGCGATGGAAATATCTCCAGTCTTCACAATTTTCCCATCCTCCTATAAACAGAAATGTTTCAGTCAATACCCGAAAGGAACAAGGAGAAGATTAAAGCGATGAGGCTATCATTAAGAAACTCAAGTAACATAACATGACAACATAAATTCAAATGTGGAAGTTATTGAGATTCTCACAAGAATGTGGCATATTGCTTAACATAATAGGCAGAAGGAATGGAATTCAGGAAGTCGAAGAATCAACAGGGTAAAATTAAGTGACTGCAAATGGGAACAATTTGTTCGTGGTTAGTTAATATTCTAAAATCCCAGCCACTGCATCCCCAAGTTATTTTCCTTGATATCATCATATTTGTTCTCAACTAACCAAGGGGGGGAAAATAACTGCATACAGAATGTAACAGGGGAACTTGCTTACAAGAAGCAAAAGCTTGCTTACCATTATATGGATAAATGTTGGCTTGATAAACTCCAAAAGTCGCAGATAGTGAGTAATCATTAAAACTGAATTCTTGGGAGTGAGGAGTCCATTCACTGCCTTTGCGACATCACGCAGTGCATCTACATCTAGGCCAGAATCAATTTCGTCCAATATACCCAACTCTGCACCAAGAACCTATAAAAAAATTGAATATTTAGCAGCATTACACACAACATCACCAAAAACACAAAATAACTAAGCAGACAAAATACCATGGTAGCCTATCAAGCCAGCTATAAACTTGAAGAAAATGTGAAAAGAGAAGATCACAAAGATACTGAATCATACCGCAAGTTGTAAAATCTCATTACGCTTCCTTTCTCCACCACTAAATCCTACATTAACATTCCTGTTCAAAAAGTCTACTTTCATATTTACAAGCTCAAGCTTTGGCGCAATGTAGCCATAGAACTGCAGGAAAGAATAACATCAATGTATTTGTCAGCCATAGATGCCCCAACCAAACACCCTTTTTACATTAACAATGCACCTGAAACAGTGCATTACAAGCTTAGTTGAAAACAAAGCAAGTCACAACAACATAGAGTTACAAACCTCAATTGGTCCAAGCTCCGGTTGTCCATGTTTTATCCTTCTAGCATTGTATGCCATGTTCAAGAAGTCAATATTGCTTACCCCTGGAATTTCAACAGGGGTCTGGAAGCTCATGAAAAGGCCGGCAACAGCTCTTTCCTCTGGTTCCATCTCAAGCAAATTCTCACCCTTATAAGTGACACTACCGCCTGTAATCTCATAATCAGGATGCCCAACAAGGACCTACAATCATCCTAGCATCATCAGTTAAAGCAGATAGTAGCCAAAATATCCAGAAAGTATCTACCTCAAGCCAAAGAAAAGGAGGCTTCCAAGTAAATCTTAACTAGATCGATGCAGAAAAGGACAAAAGCAAAAGAACGGGTGTTAAAAGGACCAAAAATAATAAATTACTAGGTAATCCAACATCCAATACCTCATTGAATAAGCATTCCTGAACAAACATTCATCCAAAATTCCATGTTATGGATAAATGGTGGGTACAACTTTTCACTTTTGAGTTCAATCAGTTAAGACTCCTATTTTATTTAGAAATTCTCCCAGACAAAATCTTGAAGTGCAAATTCATCAATAAGCAAATAAAGGTTCTACAGCACAAGTTCTATCCGTAAAATTCAAAAGACTATCGTGGAGATGATCTTATTTAAGACTAACTTAATGCAATTCTAAAAACAATAGAAAATATAGCTATGAGTTCAAAACAGCAAAGCTCAGCTCACACCTCAAAAACGGGGAAGAAAATAACTAACCTTGGCAAAAGTGCTCTTTCCAGAACCATTCTTCCCCATAACAGCATGAACCTAAAAATATCCAATTCCGGAAGATAGAATTAAGACCGAAACAAAAAGTCAAGAGAATAAATATCAATTTCAGTCGGAAGATGAAAATTATAAATGTAACTGCACCGCCCCCCAGAGAGAGAGAGAGAGAATCAGAAGTCTAGAGGATACTTATATTAAACTGTACAACCTAGAGCACTTAATTTAATTGATAGGGTAATTTAGACCGACCTCGCCTCGGTGGATAGTAAGGTCAACCCCTTTGAGAACCGGCTGTTTTGACTCGGAGACGACGGCTGAGAGGTCCTTAACTTCCAGGAGAGGCTCGGGCGAGTCGCTGCTATGGGCGGATGATGACGCCGGAGAGTCGAAGGTTACGGCGCTTCTGACTCTCAGAGAACGGCGGGTGTTGATGAGACTCGAGCGGCGAGAGGACAGAGCAGAGACGACAATCAGTTGAGAATTAGAGACGACGGAGCACTTCTTGGAAGAAAATAGAGGAGAAGTTGAAGAACAATAAGGTGTGAATGGGGCGAGCGCCATTGAAACTGGTAAGAGGAGGCTGCTGTAAGAAATCGAATGAATGATTAAAAATGGAAACGGAAATGAAGAACGAAGAAGGAACCCAAAGTTGAAAATTGTACATGGCTTTCTAGTAATTTTGAGTTTGATCATCATTTTTTAAAAATAAAAAATCGAGAATTCGATCCTCGTGTCAAGTGTAAAAATAATAGGCTGTATATTCTGTTGGGCCCAAACATTGGGCTAGGCCTTGCATGAAATATGTAGAATATTTTGGAGTAGGGAGGGCAACCATTACTTCTCTGCAGTCCACTTGATCCTGAGACCATTAATCTGGACCGGGCAAACATAGAAGTCTTTTGTCATCGGCTGTACAATGATTTTTTTTTTTTTGGGGGTAATGTAAAAGATCTATTAATTTAGCTGTAATTCCGATTCCAAGAATACACAACAACAAGTCACTAATCTATATTGTGGGGGACAACTAATTAACGAATACATTATTTTAAAATAATTTGATAAAAGAAAAAGGTAAATGTTATACACACTTCACTTTTTTACACGGCACTCTTGGTATCATTATTATCATATGATTTTCACTTATTAGATTTTTTCTTTACACCCTTCCGTCTCTTCTCACGCCTTTCATTTATTAGATTATATGATTTAAAAAAAAATAGTGGAAGTTCCGCTATAAGAAAAAAAGTTAAGTGCATATAACATTGTTCAAGGGATGTTTCAAAAAAAAAAAATTTTCCAAGAGAGATCAAACTTAAAGATTCATGTCCATAGCATTATTTGCCATGACACTCTTTGATGTGATTCATCTAAAATAAAAAAAAATATAATTTAAAAATAAGTTTTGAAAATAATAAGAAGAATGTTTTGTAAAATAATGATATGCTGCCAAAAAAAAACAAAGTTAATAAAAAAAAAAGGGGGGGGGGGGGGGGGTATGCGGCGTAACCCTAAAAACATGCGGAAGGAATTCAGGAAAGGAGAAGAAAAAAATATAAAAAGTGAGGGCCGACAAGAAGTGGCCCAACCCAACAATCTTAATTAATCCGTTGACGTGGTAAAGCTAAGCAGCAACTAGATATCGGACCTGAGCCCACATGTGGATCCATGATGGAGTACTTTTTCTTTTTTAAAAAGAAGAAAAGAAAAATATATGGATATTGTGCAAAGCATCATAATGCCACATGAAGAGGTCAAAACAAAGATTATGAGCGTATTAGATTTCCACATTGCCACGTGTCCATCTTTGACATGAGTCCTTACTTTTGAGGTCCAGGTGTTTTGCACCCATTAGTGTGAATTATATATTCTTCTGAATTTATTCTTTGGTAGATTTGATTCAATAATTGTGCTTTATTTAGAATCCATGATGAAAAGCATAACATGTTGTCCCCATTGCAATTAAATCACTTTTGCCAACAATTAAATTTTGTCCGGTATAAGACAAGATAATTATGAGAAAAATATGATTTAGACTGCTCCACACGGACCATATTATACATTTAAAAAAAAAAAACCGTTTGGATTCAAGAGTTTTTTTAAAAACTAATTTTTCAAAAATTTTAAAAAAGTACTTTAAAAGGCAGTCTAAATTTTTTTAAATGTTTAAAAAATATCCCAAAGTGTATTCTAAAAACTCTTCTATTCATAAATATTCCAAAATATTTTCTAAAATATACTATAAAAAATCTGCGGCAGTGAAATTTTTCAAAAACATCCCTAAAAACAGCTAATCCAAACGTACTTTCTGAGGTGAGGTGGGGGAAAAAACTAAAAAGGGTACTCCATAGCTAAGAGAAATTTGTCATTTCCATGAAAATATATATGAATTTGACTCTCTGTCATTACCCTTTTCCACTTTTGCAACACCTCTTTCAAGCTGGAAAGACTTGTATCAACTTTTGAGAAAGCCAACAGTTTTAAAGAAGAGTGATGACAAGAATTTGAACTCAGTTTACTCTTGATCTTCCAGTTGCAATTTCAAACGCCAAAATGGAGTTAAAACTGCTAATGAGTATCAAAATCTTTCACCAAAAAAAGTGAAAATGACTGACCTGTTTAATTCTTATGCCTACCAGAGCAGCAATCACCAGAAAAAAAAAAAAAAAAAAAAGGGGACCAATGTTTACAGCTAACAACACACATTTGTAGCCTACGAGCCAGTCTGGTTGCCATCACTATATTGAAGACTGAAGAAAATTGGGAGCTTGCAGCAAGTCTCTGCCCCAATTGAGTTCGAGGTCCATAATGCAATAATGATGATTGAGAAAGCTCCGTTGCTGACACGAACCTACCTAATAATAAATCGTGATGTTCAGCCCATGATCATGCTCTTTTTTGTCCCGTTATTGATTTTATTTTCAGGGAGCCATTGGACGTTATACCAATTACCACATCAAAGAAAAGGGTACCAAACAAACAAGACAACTCCGAAAAAAAAAAAAGAGTGAACCAGAAAATTGTGGTATTTCTTTTTGTGTAGGATTTCTTCCTTTCCATCTTTCTTTCGTATCGAGTTGACATTTAAAAAAAAAAAAAAAAAGACAACAAAGGAAAAAGCTGTTAAATAACTTCAAGAACTCGCTCACAAACTGTTCAATGGATGCAGATTCGTAATGGTCTCATCAAACTAGCTTTTTCTGAGTGGGGTCCTGACAGTGCCATCCATTATAAGAGAATTTGGTAGGAGACCTTGTATACTTTTGATAAAAATGCTGTCATTTTAAAAGTTTGTTCAACGTAATTTTACCAGCTCAATTTTGAAATTTACAAATTTTCCGTCAAAATTTCTGAGTGTGTTTATATGTGCGTGTTGCTAGGTCTGGTTCCAAAAAATTGACTAATAAGAATAATATATAGTTAGTTCTCGACAATCAAACAGAGAAATACACGATTTCATGTGGTTCCATCGAACTGACCAGATTTGTTATAACAGAAAGAGAGTATAAAATCAAAGAAATAATTCCAAGGACCAAAATGCACCTAAAACTAAAAACATAAAAGAGTCTAAATAACACAAAATACTTAAATGGTACAAAGGTTCGCAACTTACTCTTTTAATTTGATACCGAATCAAAACTCCTCTCAAATTGAGACTTGGGTCTTCTGAAATTCTCATGGCCGCCGTTGCATATGACACTTGAGTTGGTACCCTTAGTATACTTTAACTTATTTAAATCTACTGTATTTATAACTATCAAGAAGATATATTTAAACTCAGCATGTGCGTGTATATATACGTATGTATGTGTGTGTATGTAATGCAGGACTTGTGTTAAGCCCAGTTTCCAACGGGAAAAAAAAAAACCTACTCCCTAGGTACGATGGAAATCCCTTACGTTACGCTACCGCAACAGCTGTATTCAGGCACTAATAACGTATTCCAGAGTCGTAATTGGTAAAAAATGCTAAAAAGAAAAGAAAAGTGGTTGAATTCCAATGAGGAAATTTTAAGATGTTCACATGCTTACAATCTAAAACTAATAATCTTGTCAGCAATAGGCCAATTGGAAACAGATAACGGCACTAATACCGACCGTTATCTGTTTCCAATTGGCGCTTGACCAGAGAAGCTATTACTGCTAGTCAACGTCAGTGTAATTAAACCAAATATACGGAGAATTTGATCAAAATAGTTAGGTGATTACAGTTCACCAAAAACAGGCTCTCGTGTTTTCTTTTTCTTTTTTTTTTTCCCTTGTAAAATTCCTCTTTAGTCTGTTGTTTTCGTTGCAACTATTCGAATACGTGCTCGAGTTAAGTTCGATCAATGTCGAATTCGAGTTGAACACAAACTAATCAAATTGAACGTGAACTCAAATTCAAGTTTAAAAATACAAAACTAGTTAGTAAAATTATATATATATATCACTAATATTTTTATTATTTATTAAAAAAATTATTATTGTATTTATTTTTTAAAAATAAAATAATATTTTTTATTTTTTTAAGCTCAAATTCGAGTCGAGCTCGGGTTTGATATTTTGAGTTCATCGAACTCGAGTTTGAGTTCAAATTTCGTAAAATTAACTTGAGACTCAATTCGATTAGGTCAAAACTCGACTCGATTCGATTCATTTGCACCCCTAATTGCAACGATGGAAAAAAAAAAAAAGGAAGAAGAAGAAAATCCCATCAACACTACTGTGTTCTAATAAAAGCCATGCTCTACTTTTTAAAATGGCCGTTTTCCTCATTGAAACAAATTATGGATTGGACTTTTTCAGTTGAGAGGTCCAATTTGTGATACTATAATGTATCGGTATTCAACGCTAATGTTGCTAAACCAGCATTTCGCCGTATAAATACTTGCAACTAATGTACCGAATACAATAAAGAATGAAAAGAGTAATCAAGTAATATATATATATATATATATATATATATATATAAACCCATTCACTGCCAGCTATCCAATTTTTAAAGCAAGCAAGACTGGCACAGAAAAAAAAAAAAAAAAAGGGTATGCATCAGTATTACTGTCTATCTAGCTTTTATGGTTGGATTGAAAGGAACAGCTGCAATTGAGATCCAATTCTGGTCCAATGGGTACTATAGGCAACTGGAAAAGGGGTGGTATGATCTACAAATGCAAGATTGATTTACCAGTACTTATGTCTGGATTAAATTTTTTATTTTTTTATATAAATTTTTTGTGACGATAATAATTAATCTTGTTCCCAGCAGCTGTTTTGTTGACTACTCCATAATTAAGAACAAGGAAGGAAAGCCATAACTAAATTGATATTGGTCCCCGCTCGCAGCTTAGCAAGTAGCAAAGCGATGATTCATTATTATTATTAGTAATTAATTCCATGTTGCTGGACGAAAGTACCTAAACTAATTATGCACTCCGCGCAATCAAAGATGAAAAAACTCCCCAACGTCCCAAGAGCCATGTAGCCATCCATGTACTCTACTCTGTATCTCTGCTTTTGTGAGCGTTCGTGAATGGATTAAGGGCTCTAATATGCATACACCTTAAAATGAGTTCAGGTTCTTCCCCATCTGTAAAGCCTAGAGCTACCTAGGACTCGTACTATTATTACTGCTTAGTTTGATTCTAGGTAATGCAACCATGCTCCA